GACAACCAAGCACACTCACAGTCACACCTACGGACAATTTAGAATCACCAATTAACCTCAACATGTTTTTGGACTGGGTGGGAGGAAGCCGGAGAACCCGGAGAGAACCCACGCTGCACGGGGAGAACATGCAAACTCCAGAATATGTTATATTGATAAAAAAAAAAAAAAAAAAAAAAAGTGAGCTTTTACAAGATTGAATTTCCCTTCTGGGATAAATAAAGTATTTTTCATATCATTTCAAATGCAGTGGGATCTATTGTGACAAGAAATGTGACAAGAAACCATGCAGACAACACATATGACACAGCCTGTTGTTTGTTTTGTGTATTTACAGGTGTTCCAGCTGTTTTTGTGGCAGTGTGGGGAATTGTCAGGGCCATGCTTGCAGATGCAAGGTGAGAGAGCAAGTCACACTTTGCCTGTTTGAAGGTCCTCTGTCATGTCATGAAAGTTAAATGACACCAAGATTTTTAAAAATGGTTAACAAGTCGAAAGGAGAAGCTTTAAACTAAACAGGGAAACAGACACAAGTAGTGCTTAATTGTGGTGACATTTGAATCATCGAAATCCAATTAAATGTGCACTGCACTCTTGAGTAAAAGTTGGAAAGTTGTCGAGTCAGATCTTGAAGTATACAATGCAGTTACTTTGGTAATTATTAAGAGCTCAGTTTTAACACCATCTTTTCACAGTACTTGTTTCCAAATCATATGTTCAGAGACAACAGGAGCAGTACTAGAAGAAAAGGACCTCCCGCCTGCCATTATGCATTGGGGGGAAAATATTCTGTTTTGGGCTTATGTGAAAGCCAGAGGCACAGGAGATGTTACACGGAAGGAGTCTGGGTTCTCTGACGGGTGTAGTGATGCAAAACATGCCTCAAAATCCAACATGAAGAACTTGAAGAGATCATTTTGTCTGTTTACAGCCTCTCTTTCTGCTGTTCTGCAAGTCTTTCTGAAATCAGAGATTCTTTTGATGTAACAAAGATTTTTTTTTAACCATTTCTAACCAAGAGGTCAAACTATTTTTCACACTGAAGTTAATAATTTCCTTGGTCCCAATTCACAGCTCAGTCTGCCTTTTCAGTAGCACCAGCACTTTATTCTCTGTTCTGCTGCTTAATTTTCTTGCCTCTCCAACATAATTTGTCTTGTGTCATCTTGTGTGATTTATTTTTTTGTGTGCCACCTGCAGGTGCTGGGAATTAAGTGCCGGCAACATTAAGTGGATCTACCAGTTTCCCATCTTGACGGCGGTTGGGGTAAGAGTGCAAGAGAGTGAGAGTTTTATCTGTCATTGGAACTGAAGTTTCTAAGAAATGTGTAGCTTTGAAGAGGGTCACTCATTCCAATCTGCGAGGCTTTTGTACATCTCAGGGACAGTGTAGATTTCTTTCCTCCTTCAATCTCAAAAAAATCTTTCAGTGTTTTTTTTTTTTTTTTTTTTTTAAAAGCACATACCCTTGACTAATTGTGGGCTAACAAGCAATGTAGTATCCAACCAAACAGCCCTCTCACCAAAAAACACTCATCAACTTTAAGCACTTTTCTTAAAAGGCCAAAAATAAAAGATCTGTGTAGTGTTCTGAATATTGAGATGGAGTGATTGTTACAGTCATTATCACAGCAGCAACACTTGCATCATTATGAATTTTCAACGTGGGAGATTGACAGAGCAGGCAAAGGGCTAGTTAAGGACAAAAAGTTCAAAATTAATGCTATGATAATAATCATCACAATTTGTAGAATTATAGTTTGGAATCATGTGTTTTTCTGCATTAATAGGTAGAAAATGGGATCTAATTTTCACCTAAGACCTAGATATGGACAAATAATAGACTGTATAAGAAATGGACGTAGCTACTGTGACGTCACCCGGTGGTTTCTGGACTGAGAAAATGAAGCCAGGGTAGGCCCATATCTCCTCAAGAAGTACAGCAAGCTATAAAGTAACTCAAAAATAACAAATCTCCAGGGTCTGATGGGCTGTCATCTTAATTTTATAAATCTTTTGTTACTGAACTGACTCCTTTTTTACATAGAGTCTTTGTAGAATGTATTCATATTGAAAGTCTTCCTACTACTCTGACCCATGGAATTAATTCCTAAATCAAACAAGGACAAACTACTTATAGGTAATTGGCGCCCAATTTGCCTACTGAACAACAATTATAAAATAATGGCCTTCTTATTGGCCACAAGATTAAGGTCAGTACTGGACTCTATCATAGAAGAACCACAATCAGGCTTCATGAATAAAAGGCACGTCGCAAAAAATATTAGGCTAGTCTTAGATATTTTAGATTACCCAGAGATGGTGGAGGACGGTGGGCTCATGCTGTTTGTAGATTTCTGCAAAGCTTTTGATACTGTTGTAGTGTATGTTAGAACTATGCTTTGTAGTTCTGTTGCACTCGTTAATTTAGGGGCATCACCTCAGTTTACTGAGGAATTATTTTAAATGAAATCTCAAAGAGACTTTATTTAAAATCACGGTTATCAGTCTTTTATCTGAAAGCCGTAAGCTCTGATTAAATTGACCTCAGTTCCCACACAAAAAACACACAAACCGTGAATTGGTCTAAATAAGAAAGGTTTATTAAATACTCTACGATTATAATATACGTAAACTATAAACAATGAAATCGTAGTGTGTGTAGTGGACGTGTCATCAGATTACCCAGTCAAATAATAGGGATTATGGTGAGAGCAGGATGGTTAATAAACGATGTAGCGGTAGTGATTAATAATTTGGTTTGTGATCGATAACGAAAAAAAATAAATCCTGAGCTGTAGGAAAGCGGTATTTCATGATCTGTGTGCACTCAGTTTACAATTGGGGTCTACAGGCATAGATATGTATAATAAAGGCTAGATGTCTCGTCCGTGCTGTCAGCCAGTGGAATTGCATGGCCACACTTGGCAGCCATCTTGATTCGGTACACTCGCTCACCCATAACTTTGTGTTGTAGTGGTGCATATACTTTTTTAAAAACCGTAACTTGCTCAATTTTCTACTGATTTAAAATGGTTTGGTTTGTTCTAAATGTCAGAGGTGTAGTTGTAACACTGCACTTATGGATAATTATGTTACACTTTCACGACCAGCAACAATTACTATTTTAATTATTTATGTTTTATTTGTGTTTTGTAATTTGCATTGTAGCCACGTTAATAACGTTTGTAAGAAACCAAACTGTTTGTACATCCGTCAATATTTCAGCGAGATTAGAGTGTTTACGTTTGTGCAGATCACTCACCTTCCTTCACGTACCACAGGTTCCGCCAGAGAGCTGCCCCGAATCAAGATGGCCGAAGGGTGATCCCATTCGAAACGCCGCCATAAGACAACTAGCCTTTATTATACATATCTGTGTCTACAGGAGTCAGGGCTTTTTGGAGCCAGCAACTAGCGGACGTAGTAGTACTGCAGGTTTTTGACACTTCTGGGTTGGTGTCATTTTTCAGGGCCGGTTGCTACGACCATCTTTTATACAGTCTATGGGACAAACACAGGCTGTGTCCGAAATCACTCCCTATGCTGTATAGTGCACTATAAGGTGTACGCCATTTTGTAGGGGTGTCCGAATGTTAAGTTATAAATGTTGCACCCTCTACAGTGCACTCAAAATATCCCACAATGCACTGTGAAAAGCAATTTACAGCCGATGGTCACTAACCGAGCGATATGGACCATCATGCATTGCATCGAAGGAGAATGGCGGACGGACATGAGCATGAAAGCTTGTCGTACAAATGTGAGTAATTTCCCATTTAAGTTGCATTGTTGAATGTTATTTTTCCTGTGTCGTAGCCATGTAATATACTGCGAATTTGATGTGTTTGCACTACATTTATGCGGCAGAAATCATGTCTAGCGAGCGACTGAGCTCGCTAATCCTCCATATAGTCATTGCTGCTAAGTTTACAGTGGATGAGTAGATAACAATTTCTAAATGGTATGTTGTGGAATTGCATGGGTTCACCACACAGCCGATCATCAGTTCATTGTCTCTAAAGGGACCGATGACGACGTGGCAAAATTAATTCACCTGAGAAGTGAAAAGGAGCACCTTTTCTTAGGTAAACGTTTTACTTCAGCTGCTGGATGGGAGTGAGTAACATTAAATTCCTGCGAAGAAATCAAGTATTTGTGTATTTATAGCAAAAGTAGAACTGAATTGTAACTTAGAACTTTGTTGATGACAGCAACTGACCCGTTTGGCGTCTAGATACGTTTTAACGATGTTAGAATAATATTCTGTATTATTATATCTTGTAGAGGTGTGTTGAAAGATATGGGCCTTGCTGGCCTGGTGAGTCTTTCCAGAGCAGCCAAGAAGTGGCAGAACCTGAAAAAGATGTACAACGATTGAATTTACTGTATTTAACTGCAGTCTCAGATCATGAAAGCACATATGGAAGTTGGCAGTTAGTGTTCTCTTTGCTCTATTTGGCATTTGAAATAAACACTGCCTTAATTGTGTGTTGTTAAGACTTTCTAATGAAGATGGAAAATTTATACTGATGTAAAGCTTTTAAGTATATGTCTGTAAGTAAAGTATATGATTTACACTTTTTATTATAATTTATCATCTGTTATACAGTACAGACCAAAAGTTTGGACACACCTTCTCATTCAAAGAGTTTTCTTTATTTTCATGACTATGAAAATTGTAGATTCACACTAAAGGCATCAAAACTATTAATTAACACATGTGGAATTATATACTTAACAAAAAAGTGTGAAACAACTGAAAATATGTCTTATATTCTAGGTTCTTCAAAGTAGCCACCTTTTGCTTTGATTACTGCTTCGCACACTCTTGGCATTCTCTTGATGAGCGTCAAGAGGTAGTCACCTGAAATGGTCTTCCAACAGTCTTGAAGGAGTTCCCAGAGATGCTTAGCACTTGTTGGCACTTTTGCCTTCACTCTGCGGTCCAGCTCACCCCAAACCATCTCGATTGGGTTCAGGTCCGGTGACTGTGAAGGCCAGGTCATATAGCGCAGCACCCCATCACTCTCCTTCTTGGTCAAATAGCCCTTACACAGTCTGGAGGTGTGTTTGGGGTCATTGTCCTGTTGAAAAATAAATGATGGTCCAACTAAACGCAAACCGGATGGAATAGCATGCTGCTGCAAGATGCTGTGGTAGCCATGCTGGTTCAGTATGCCTTAAATTTTGAATGAATCCCCAACAGTGTCACCAGCAAAGCACCCCCACACCATCACACCTCCTCCTCCATGCTTCACGGTGGGAACCATGCGTGTAGAGTCCATCCGTTCGCCTTTTCTGCGTCGCACAAAGACACGGTGATTGGAACCAAAGATCTCAAATTTGGACTCGTCAGACCAAAGCACAGATTTCCACTGGTCTAATGTCCATTCCTTGTGTTCTTTAGTCCAAACAAGTCTCTTCTGCTTGTTGCCTGTCTTTAGCGGTGGTTTTCTAGCAGCTATTCTACCATGAAGGCCTGATTCACACAGTCTCCTCTTAACAGTTGTTCTAGAGATGTGCCTGCTGCTCGAATTCTGTGTGGCATTGACATGGTCTCTAATCTGAGCTGCTGTTAGCCTGCGATTTCTGAGGCTGGTGACTCGGATGAACCCTTCCTCCGCAGCAGAGGTGACTCTTGGTCTTCCTTTCCTGGGGCGGTCTTCATGTGAGCCAGTTTCTTTGTAGCACTTGATGTTTTTTGCGACTGCACTTGGGGACACTTTCAAAGTTTTCCCAATTTTTGGGACTGACTGACCTTCATTTCTTAAAGTAATGATGGCCACTCATTTTTCTTTACTTAGCTGCTTTTTTCTTGCCATAATACAAATTCTAACAGTCTATTCAGTAGGACTATCAGCTGACTTCTGCACAACACAACTGATGGTCCCAACCCCATTTATAAGGCAAGAAATCCCACTTATTAAACCTGACAGGGCACACCTGTGAAGTGAAAACCATTTCAGGTGACTACCTCTTGAAGCTCATCAAGAGGATGCAGAGTGTGTGCAAAGCCGTAGTCACAGCAAAAGGTGGCTACTTTGAAGAAACTAGAATATAAGGCGTATTTTCAGTTGTTTTACACTCTTTTGTTAAGTATGTAATTCCACATGTGTTAATTCATAGTTTTGATGCCTTCAGTGTGAATCTACAATGTCAATAGTCATGAAAAGAAAGGAAACTCATTGAATGAGAAGGTGTGTCCAAACTTTTGGTCTTTACTGTATATATAAAAAAATGTTTTGTGTGCAGGAGCTTAAGAAGCCACCAACAGGAAGTGGCACTGAGTCAGGAGAACCCACGGCCAGAACATGGAAGTGGTTCTCCCTCATGGATGAGGCGATAGGAGGTAGGCCATCCATTCGGTCTCCCTGCTTTATTGCCTCAGCCTTGGGGGAGAACCCTTCCATGTCTGGGGTGGGCTCATCTGATTCAGTGCCACCTGAGAGTCAGACTCAAGAGCCAGGGACAGACTCGGGGCCAGAAGAGCCGCTGCCGGCTAAAAGGCAGCGGCATGACCCTGTCCTTGAACTGCTGCAGAGGGCAGAAGAGAGAGCAGAAGAGAGGGCCAGGCGAGATGAGGTGAGGGAGGAGAGACTTTTGAATTTGTTGGAACGAATCACTGATAAAATGTAAAATTAAAAAAATAAAAATAATTTAACTGTTTGTTTGAAATATTAAAAAAATGCAGCTGTTAAAAAAAAGAACATTATCTGATCAAAACAAATTTCTTCCAAGAAAATTTGAACACATGAACATTTCCTTAACTTTCAAATAAGTTTAAGACATTTGAGGATAGGCTACAGATTCAAGGCTGATTTGATAATCACTACTTACACTATTTGCAAAACCAATTTAAACTATTTACATGGATGAAAGTTTGATGAGAGTTTTGTGTTTCCTAATTGTAATCATGGTCATTGAGAGCATCAGTAGTGCTGGTTGGTGCTGACAGAGCAGCAGTGATGCGTCCACGCAGCTGCTCACCAGACTGCATGTCGGGCTGAAGCTGACCACCTTCATCATCTGTCCCCATTTCCTCCTCCACAGGCTCAATTATGTCTCTATCTCTGAGACAGAAGTTGTGCAAAATGGCACAACATGCAATGACCCTCACGGCGAAAACAGGATGCACTTCCAGAGCCTTGAAAAACACGGATCGCCACCTGGTCTTCATGATGCCAAATGCCTGTTCAATAACAGATCGAGCCTTTGATGTCTGTTGAACCTGGCTGCCACTGGATTTCTCACTGGCTCTCTGTATAGTGGTGATGCGTGTGATGGGTTGTGATGTACATGGGTATCTACCATCACCAAGAAGACAGTACCCCTCAGGTGGGTGCAATCTGCCGACATATAACAGGCTGTTTTTAAGAACTCGAGAGTCATGGACAGAACCTGGGGAACCGACAAATATGTCCAGAAATGGACACTGGTGGTCACACACTGCTTGCATTTGAATTGAATAAAAAAGTTTTCTATTAAAATAGCACTGAGCATCAGCACTTGGTGGCTTGATTCTGACTTGACAGCCATCAGTGCTACCCACAACCTTTTCAAATGCAGCCGATCCCGCCAGACGTTGAAAGCCAGCACCAACTCTTGGAAGCTCGTCTGCTGATGAAAAGCAGATGACCCTGTTTTTGAGTGCGATGACTTTGTCTGCAACCCTGTGAATGATGTCACTCACCATAGAGTGTGGGATGCCAAACGCTCTGGACACAACATGGTCGGAGGTTGCACTTGCGAGCCAAAAAAGAAATACCAGAACCTCCAATTCCTGACCCGAGCCATGGTCACATGGAGATCAGAGGATGTGGGTTAGGTGGCTTATTGTGGGTCTGGAGAGGCGGAAGTCAGGCCGCAGATCACTTTGGCCATCCAGGAATAAGGCAATGAGTGGAATATGACTGTTGAAGATATGATTGTGTATGCTGAAAATAAAAATATTCAAACTTAGAATTTTCATTTTTTACGTCAGTTCATGACACCATTCTATGTGACCATACAATCTGGTATAGTAGTTTACTGTTGTAAAGTTGTAAAAGCAAAGTGGTATCAGTGCTAATTTTTCCCAAGAGGGGCTGTAGTCTGAACCATAAGATATATACAGTCTATGGTCTGAACCATAGTTAAACGTCACACTGACAATTCAGAGATAATCAATGTATGTATCTATTGTAAAAAAAACATGAAAAGACTACAATCATGTTAGTGTGTTCACTTACAAGGTGACGTCGTCTTGCCAGTTTAGCAAGAGCAATTCGTCTCAATCTTCTCTGACGATTGATTCTGTTTCTTCTTCTTCTTCTTTTTAGAAGAATTTGTATGATCATCAGAAGGAAAACAGAAAAATTGAGGATTGGTGGCATTTCCACAGATTTCTGATAGCTATTTTTTTGTGAAAAAAATGTGACTAGTGATAAGTTGTCTTTTCAAAGGAAGTACTTCAACACAAAGGTTTAAAAATATATATATTTTCATTTATTACTTTGGAAAAATACGCCCAGTATATGAATTTGTCACAGAAATGCCAGTCAGCTCACTACAATAGCTGGCGTCGATCTCATACGTCTTAAGTGAGTGACAGCAATGACGTAATTAATAGCGCCCAGACTTGCGTAGTGTCCAAAATGTTGCTTTGCCGAGCAGCTCCATATATAATGATCACTACATAGTGCACTATATAGTGATCACTATGTAGGGAGTAGCAGAGGTTTGTCTAAACAATGTTACAGGGCAGTGGCGACAGGTGAAGGTTTTTGGTGGGGGGATGCAGTCTGCAAATGACCTTTGATTTAAAATCAGAAATTAGAATGAGTCACAACCATTTACAGAAATGCAAATTGTCTACCTTTGGAGGATATTCTAATAATAATATGAAAAAATGAAATGAAATGAAATGAAAAATACTTTATTTATCCCAGAAGGGAAATTCAATCTTGTAAAAGCTCACTATTTTTTTTTTTTTAAATCAATATAACATATATTTATATACAACAATAATAATCATTCAGTCAGTTGGATTTGTTTTTTAAAGTGATGGCTGTTGGCAGGAAGGAATTCCTGTATCTCTCCGTTCGACAACGAAGTTGACGCAGCCTCCCACTAAACACACTCTGTTGGTTCTTCACTGTGTTGTGGAGAGGGTGAGAAGAATCCTCCATCATCTTCATCATCTTGTGCAGCATTCTTTTTTGAACAATCAGCTCCAGTGGTTCCAGAGTTATCCCCAGCACAGAACCAGC